AATTTATAGTCTTCTAGTATGTTCACCAAACGAACCTATAGAAAGTAGTCACAAGAATCAGAGAAAAGACTTTGGCTGTGTTAATGACTTTCTGCATTTAACTTTAAACATTTTTTAACTTACACCATCGTAAAGAAATGACTTCTGCATTTCGCCTTCCCATAAAAGCGTTTTCTTAATAAGATTGTCAACCATTGCTGAAGAAAACAACACACAAAGGAATAAGATACGATTACTTATTTGATTTAATCTTCGAATACTAGTAAAATGCATAAAGTGATAAGTACCAGGGATCTTATTTACTGTCACCCGGGCTCGTTCTGCACGCTTGAGGTTGACATGTCCACCTCTTCCAGCGCTATACCTGTTCTCATCCTGAAACCAAAGAAATAATCTTTAGAATACATTCTTCAAAGAATCAACGGTGGGTTTCAAGCTCTAAGCTTCTCATACCAGATTATATTCTTCCAACCAATTTTCCTCTTCACATGCTGAAAGCCAACGGTCAATCCTGTCCATGATATCTTTTCTGCTCTGTGCTTCGTCTTTAATTTTGTTTATCTGCGCTTCGATATTTGCAAGAAGCTCTGAAGGGTCCACTAATCCTGAAGAAACACAGGGGAAGCTTGGCTTAAACAAATGGATTTGGCAAGTAAACTAAATATTCACCGACCACAAGCTCAATCGCATTTACCAGAATCTATCAATGCACTTGATTTCTCGGCTGAAGTGCTTGTATCGGGTTGAATGTGAGTTAGCCTACAAAGATCCTCTAACTCGGACCTTCGTTTCATCACAAGCTCCTTCATTTTGCTAGCTTTCAGTTTACTCAGACAGTCCACTTCCGCAGACACCTATTGTAAAGGCAAATAAAAAAATTAGACCTGGATGAGAAAAAAAGACATGAATGTGGAATAATATAATTGATTCTACAAAACCTGTTCGATTGTCTCGGTGGAAAGGATGCCTGGCTCAGTGATATTAGATTCAGATGATCTTACAACGTAAGTAACTCTTCCAAATTTAGTTCTCTCTTCTTGCGGTGTGTCCATTAGATTCCATAGCTCGAAAAGTGAGGCCACTACATCCTTCAACTGCATATTGGAAACACAAAATTGATAAATCAATACATGAATATGAAATAGAAGAACAATATTGTGCAAACGATGTATATAAAGTACAACTTACCTTTTGAAATCGAGTTTTTCTTTCAGTTTTAAGCTTTTGAATCATGTGCTCTAGTCCTTCCAGTGTGGTATCACTAATGTTTGTAGACTGCTCGTGATCGGTCCTATGCAAGCTCGGATGAACCTCGCAGACCGTTTGACTAAAATCAATTCCAAGAACACCGCACAGTTCGTGTACCTCATTGACATAACCCAAGACTTTGTTGAGGCGATCAGACTGCATGAAAAGAACAATAAACATGTCTATAAGAAAAAAAAACAGTGATGGATATTTGTTGTTCATTGCTCTTAGAGATAAGAAACTTCACCTTTTCCTTTTGAAGCGTGCGGAGATGTGTTTGATACTCGTTAAGTTTCCTCAGAGTCAAGTCGTGTTCTTCGACAGTCGATGAATTGATCATGGCCTTGTTGAGATGGTCACTGTATCCTGAGATTTCCCCACTTATCTTCTCAATTTGCGCCTTTATGTCAGAAAACTGCTTCACTCTCTCCTCTTTCTGAATCCTCAAGTCCTCAACTAAAGGAGTCACAGCTGCAAGCTTTTCTTTCAATGATTTTGAACCTTTATCATCCACTTTTATCTGAACATCAAAATTCAAGAGAAGATCGATATTTGGAAGCCAAACACATAATAATCTAAACCATTTACTATGAAAGATAGTAGCTCGTACCGGTGAGTTGATGTTTAACACTCCAAGAGCAGCCATTAGAAAAGCAACTTCAGCTTCCATTGATGCAACAGACTGATGAAGCTTTGCCTTTGAATTCGCAGCCTCGTCGACTTTTCTTTGATAGATTTGAAGACATTCTCTCTCTAATTCAATCAGCATTCTATCTTTCTCAGTCTCACTCTCACCAATTTCAACCCATATTTGCTGTTTCATACACCAAAAAAAAAGCCATTTAAACTCATGAAATTAGCCTCCACACACCACAAAAACTCATGAAAGTACAAGAGCTCGTGAATGAAATTGTTACCAAAGAACATCAACAGTTACATGTAGACCCAAAAAAAAGTATAGAAATTTCCAGAAATTGAGACAAAACCAAGATGGTGACTAAAAAAAAACAGAGGCATGTTTAGTCAAAATTCACAGGAACCCTTTGACCTTAGAGACGAAAAGATAATGAAAACAAAAGACGAATTCAGTTAAATTTGTCTCAACTAAAACTGATTTATGACCAAAAGAATCATCCTTTTAACCCTTGCAAGTAAAAAAGGTACTGACTTTTTCCATCAAACC